AATGCAGTGGCATCCTATCTCACAGCAACCTCAAACTCCCGGGCTCAAGCAATCCGCTTGCCTGACTCCCGAGTAGCTGGGACTCTAGGCACCTGCCACAATGCCCAGCTAGATTTTTCTATTCTTAGTAGAGATGGGGGTCTTACTTTTGCTCAGGCTGATCTCAAACTCCTGAGCTCAAGCAATCCACCCACCTCAGCCTCCCAAAGTGCTAGGATTACAGGCGTGAGTCGCAGTGTCCGGCCTCCTCATACTTTTCTGTAGAGCAGTTTTATATTTCAGAAAAAAATGGAGCAGAAAGTTAAGAAGTTCCCATGTACGTCCTCCCTCCCACCCGTGTCCTGCTTCCTCTATTATTAACGTGGAGCAGTGGTGTGGCGCATTTGCTACAATTAATGAGCCAATATCGATTCATTGCTATTAGCTCAAGTTCAGTGTTTACACTGAGGTCCGTTTTGTGTGTTGCACAGTTCTCTGAGGTTCGGCGAATGTATAACGACACGTATCCAGCATTACAGAACCAGATAGAAGAGTTTCACTGCTCTAAAAACCCCCTGTGCTCCTCCTGTTCCTCTCTCTCTCCCCCTAAGCCCCTGGCAAGTATCGATCTTTTTACTGTCGTAGAGTTTTGTTTGGGTTTGCTTTTCCAGAACGTCATGCAGTTGGGGCTGTACAGTATGTAGCTTTTTCGAGTTGGCTTCTTTCATTCATCAGTGGCTTGATAACTCGTTTGTTTATCACTAAGTAACATTCCATTGTAGAAATGTATAGATGCTCCTCAATTTATAATGGAGTTATGTTACAATAAGCCTTTTATATCAACCTTGACAGACATTGGTGGGAAACAAACCAATAAAAAAACCACAGCATAAACATACTAAGTCATACATGCATTGAATACACGCGCCTAACCGACTGAACATCACAGCTCCGCCTACCCGACCTTAAACGTGCTCAGAACACTTCCATTGAGCAAAATCATCCCGTTTTATGATACAGAGTTGAACATGTCATGTCATCGAATGAATATTATACCGAAAGTGAAAAACAGAATAGTTGTCTGGATACCCAAAGCACAGTTCGACTGAATGCACACTGCTTTTACACCATCGTAGAGGCAAAAACTTCTAAGTCTGCCCATCTTGAGGGAGGGACCGTCTTTTCCACGATTGGTTTCTGCAGTCACCTATTGAAGGACATATTGTTTGCTCCCAAGTTTTTGCGATTCGACATGAAGTTGCTATAAGCATTCATGTGCAGGCTTTTGTGTGGACGGAAGTTTTCAGCTTATTTGGGTAAACACCGAGAAGCACGACGGTGGGGTCCTACGGCAAGAGCAGATTTAGTTTTGTAAGAAATTGCAAACCGTCTTCCAAAGTGGTTAGACCATGTTGCATTGCCCTGGCAACGAGCAAGAGAGTTCTTATTGCTCCACATCCTCACCGGCATTTGATGTAGTCGGCATCTCGGCTTTCAGCCATTCTAATAGGTGTGCGGTGGCATCTCATTGTTGTTTTAATTTGCAATTCCCAGCATAGGATCCTGAGCATCTTTTTGTATGCTTACTTGCCATCTGCGTGTCCTCCCTGATGAGGTAGTCTGTTCAGGTCCTTTCACCCTTTTCGAAATCAGATTATGTGTTTTCTTGTTGAGTTTTAAGAGTCCTTTGTATATTTTGGATACAGATCCTTTCTCAGATAGGTGTCTGGCCCGTATTTCTTCTCAGTCTGCAGCTGGGCTTAATGTCCTAGCACTTTTCCTGTCTGATATTTTCCCATTTAAGCCTCTCATGCCTGCACTCTGAGAGCTGATAGTGGTGTCAATGTACTAAGGAGGCTGAGGCCAAGAGGGATCGACCACGGTCCCAGGAAAGAGACACTGTTGTTTGGATGCCCTGCAGAGCCCGCAGGTTGCAGGCTAACCCCAGCTGCCTCCTCTGTCTCACCCCTATTGCTGTCCCTCCCATTCTCCATCTTCCCAGGACAGGAGACTCTTACAGCCCCCGCACCATATGCCTATGTCTTCAGGATCTCTGATTTCCCTCTTGCTGTTGCCTCTAATGCAAAAACTTCCTCACTGTCCACTGGTCAGGCCTTGCTTATTTTAATTCTTCATCCACCTGCCTGCCGTCCACCTGTCTATTCCTACCTTCTAGACTGGAAGCTCCACTCCTGTGAATAATCTGTCTCCCCCAATAACGTAACACACTCCTTAAGTGTAAGTATCATGTCCATGGCGTTTTATTAATCCCTTCAACTAGCCTGACCCATGGTAGGATTGCAGCAAATGTGTCCTTAATCAATGAAGGAAGAGGTGGTATTGGCAAACCCTCTCATCTGTCGGCAAGAGGCTCCTTTCATCTTTGAGAATATTTAACTAGAAGGCATGAGTTTGGTTCTTTTTGTTTTGTTTTTCATCATTTCTGCTTTCAGATTTTTAAATTTCATTTTGTACTTTAAAAATTCCCTTTCAACGTTTTAAACCAGAATTTCTGTTCCCAGTGCGAAGGACCCCAAGGGCAGGCATAACTCAATAAATCAACTAGATTTTTGAATCAATAAGTCATTAGCGAGACCACTGAGTAAGAACACAATGGGCATTTTCACATTTTTGAGGCTTACAGTTCCCGGAGCTGCTGATAACAAGGCTCGGTGCCCCAGATGCAGAGCCGGGCACCAGGCCTTGTCTGAACCTCAGCCTCCTACATGGGATGGTCCCCAGGAAGCCCTCCGCTCTGGGGCTGGAATACTGCAGGAGCTGGGGACCAGCCATTTGCACAGACTCCAGCAGAGATACCTGAGATGCTCAAGGTCCCGAGGCAGAGCCTCATGTGAGCAGAGCAGAGGCTCAGGGTCAGAGAGACCTGAGAGGGAACTCTTGTCTCTGCCACCTACAGGCTGTGTAACTTGGGAAAGTTGCTTACCTTCTCTGAGCCCCAGTTTCTTCATCTGTCAAATGGGAAGAATCATAATACAACATCATTCTGGTATCTTTATAATAGCCTAAGACATTATTTTGAGGCATAAATGGTTGAGTGAGATAATATAAAGTTACCTTCAAACTCCTCCCCTACCTCACACCCCACTCTTGCACCCACCCGAAGTGATTCCTTAGACCCCCCCCCACCTACACCCTTTAGTTACTTCCACTGAAATTCTTCCCCATGATAAGTAAAGAAAGTGGCATTTAGCATAACTCACTGTCTAGCACTGTGCCCGCCACATGGCACATGCTTACGGAATAATTCTTAGATTATTTAAATAATAGCTATGGGGTGGTGCCCCAGACCAGTCCTGGGCCTGCCCGTGCATAATGGGACCCAGTTGCTCACCTTCTCCTACTCTCTTCTGCATTTTTCAGGTAACCGGCCCCTCCCTGCAGGTTGCATCTCTCAGGCTCTATCAGCAGCTGGCTTCCGGCTGGGTTGAAGGAGAGAAGTGGGTGATCACCCCTCTATCCCAATTACAGTTGCCTTCCTCAGCAGCAAGGGGAACTCCTCCTTGTCTCCAGCTCCCACCGGAGAGGCCCACTGGCCTCAGTTTCCAGCAGGTGGCCCCAGCTCCTGAGCTCTGGTGGCCCCAGTCCTCCCAACGTCCCCCCAGCCGTGGGGCAGGCAGGGTCCCTCCGTTTTTCTTTTAGCCCTGAGTTACTTCGCGCTCTTCTGACTGCTCAGCAATTCTATCACCGAGGCAGCCACTTCTCTGGAGTCAAATCCCCCTGTGGGGTATTTCTGAAGTGGCCCTATTACCCTCAGACTGTCTGAACTCAGAGTGAGAATTCTACCCTCCCGTGCTCCACCATTCACTGACCCATGTGGCCAGTCAGTCTTTGTGAGCCTCAGTTTCCTCATTTGTAACAAGGGCTAACAGGACCCACCTTCCTTCTCTCACGGGGTCAGTGTGAGAACCCAGTGGGGTCATCTGTTTATACATCTGCCAACTTCTTCTTGAGTGCCCACAGGGGTGCAGGGGATCAAACAGGGACGTTATCCGTCTCCCTCCCTGTTCCATCCCCTGCACCTCAAGGGAATTCAGGTTAGTGGCAGCAAATGTGCTCCATGGCCCACAAAGTGCTGTGGAACTCCCACAGGATAAGCTGATCTGATATCCATGACCCCTTTGGGAGAATCCCTCATGATGCTGCGAGCTCACCAGGCCACTTGCTGAGATCCCCATCCCGACCCTGGAGGGCGGCAGATTGGCCAGAGGCTGCAGGGACCACACAGTGACATGGATAACAAACTAAGGCCCCTCCTCCCACCCAGACCCAACCAGGGTGTGCCACAGGAGTGTGTCTGTTCACGTGTCAGAGCTCGCTTAATTAATTAGAAAGGATTACCCTGATTCTTCTGCTGTTCTGGTTTTCTTTTAATGGTTTTTATTTACTGTGATTTGAAGGAAGCATGCTACCAACCGAAGCCTGCAAATCTTGTTTATGTCTCGATGGTGTCTGAAAGGATATCCTCTGCAACAGGACTTTCAGTTATTGATGAGCTCTTTTACAATGATTTAGGCAGCCTCACTTTAATGACAGTATCAATAACAGTATGTGGCTGACAATCTATTCTCAACAATAATACTCCAAGGAGCAAAAGAAAAGCAATTTGTGCATATGTATAAAATAAGCAAACTGGCTGTTTTTAAGCCAACCTGAAACTGGAGGGTATTTGTTCAGATTCAACCTGCTCACGTCCCAAGTATTTTTATATAGTCTCTCCTATATGTCCTATGAAGAAAGTATTTCCATTCCTATTTTAATGATGAAATTGCTAAGACTTAGAGGAGCCGGTGACTAACCCAGTCCTTTAGAAGGTTGCTGACCTTCCTGAGCCTCCACTTTCTCCTCTGTAAATGGGATTAGTGACTGAGGGCTGTGTTGAGGGTTAAAGGAGAGAGTAGCGTGATATTTGATAAGCAGTCATGTATAAATGTAGGTGAAGACACTGCTGGCTCCTCTTATCAATCATCCCTTTGATTTCTGCTCTCTGTCTCTCTCCACAGATGACCATTCTCGGGTGAGGCTGCTCGTGCTGGACGGAGACCCACACTCTGACTACATTAATGCCAACTACATTGACGTGAGTGTCTTAACGGAGCAGGGCAGCCAAGATCTGAGGTCAGCTGTGCAGGCTTAAGATCTGTGCTTGTCCCCCAAGATCTCCCTCTAAAAGTGACCCTTCCATAGTATGTCCAGAGCAGCCCGAATCCTCCCTGATTTGTGTAACTAGTGTAACCCAAAGCTCACATCCTCTTCCAGGCTGGCTAGAGTAGCCTACTCTACGGGGCCAGGACAACTGTGAGTCTTATTCCCTCACCCCATGGATTCATTTGTAGATGTGGCTGCTAACCCATTCATTCATTCACTTTAAGGCACATCCATTTATACAACAAAAATTTCAAAACACCTACTGTATGCTAGATGCTGTAGGAACCTAAAGCTAAAAATATCATGGTCTCTACCCTCTGAAACCTTAGCAGGGAGATAAGTGGTGCCCATCAATAATTCCAGGGCAAAGCAGAAAGTGGTAAGTGTCCTAAGTTCAGATAAAATGCTGCAGGGATTCAGGGGTGGGGAAATACATTGCTGCTTCCATCAGGAATGCAAAATGTGATGTGAACCAAAGCTTCCAGCACAGGTGGAATTTAAAATCAAAGAGAGCAGAGATGGGGCTGTGGACAGAGGGAGCCGCAGAAGCCCAGTTGTGGCAGCCTGCGGGGAGATGTGTAGCAGCTGTGTTTGAGGGGAGCAGAGATTATATGTGTCATGGAAAAAAGTGGAAAATAAGGTGACAGCTAGATCACAGGCAGCGTAGACGGCCAGACTTAGGAAGTGGGACTTTATCTCATAGGCAAGAGGTAGATATTGAATGTTTGTAAGGAAGTGATCAGTTCAGAATTGGAGGTGATTTGTCTTCTACTGAGGGGAAGATAGATCAGAGGGAGGAGATTCTGGAATGAAGACAGCCAGTAGGAAAGAGGCTACTTCACTATTATAGAGACGATTGAGGAAGGGACTGGACTCAAACACATGCCCAGAAGGGTGGGCAGAGAAGGGAAAGAATTTGCAGCATGAGGCATGGCCACCGAGGCCAGATGGACATGCTTCCGTGACTGGTGCAAGCCGTGCTTCTCAGGACCTCAGCTTGGAGCCCAGGGGCCTTGAAGAATGCTCAGAGATTCATGTTGGTCCCTCAGGCTCCCAAATGCATTTAGAGACAAGCTACAAAGTGTAGTGACATTTTTGGTGAATTCCCCTGTAATCTAGGCTGAGCCAGATGACAGCAAATACTTACTGGGACTTGTATTGGTGATTGGCCTGTCTGTCCTCAGACTTGTCCCTTGTCCTTCCTATTCTGTCTTGCACTATGGGGGGGAGGGGTGTGTGTGTGTGTGTGTGTATCTGTGTGTGTGTCTGGGCTCATGCGAGTTTGTGTTATGCAAGGGGAGGGAAGCTGACTCCTTAAGGGGAGATCGGAGCACGATAGGAAAGGAGTAGCCAGTGTGTCCCCCTCTCCCTTCCTTGGTGGCAGCCACCCAGGTGGCTCCTCCTGTCTGTGGCTCCTGCTCCCCTCCACCAGCCCACCATAGTCCCAGCTCCTCCAGGCGGCCCCAGCTCCTGGGCGTGGTCACTGCTCTGTCTCCAACTAGATCTAAAGGTGGTTGCAGCCTCCGCTGTCCCAGGTTGCTGGGCTGCACGGCTGTTCCCTGTGTGGTATCTCAGCTCCTCCATCAGCTGTATAACCAGCTCCCCGTGCTGAATTCCCTCTGTCTGATACACCTAGACTGGTTTCTGTTTCCCCCGCTGGACCCTAACAAAGGGCCTGCTATGTGGCCCAGAGCTGGGGCTGGAGCTTCAGTGGAAGTGAAGGTGGATATAGTTTTTTCCACCATGGCCTTTCTAGGGAAGTTGACAGGAGATGGCCAGAGCTTTTCTCCAGCCCAGAGCAAGGTGCTCTGAGCATCCGTGACCCATGCCCTGGTGCAGTTAGTATTCATTTCACAAGCACTGAGCTCTAGAAATAGAGACCTTTAAAACCAGGCCTCTGACCTAAAAGGGATTCAAGCATGGGGAGGGAGTCAGATAGGAAAAGGGAACCTCACAGGACAGGGGCAATGGGACCATAAAAGAAAATCAAAACCTAGAGTGGGTAGTGGGGCAAGTGATGGGTGTAAGCTTCCTGGAAGAGGTGCCATCTCAGTTCTGCCTTAGAGCCAAGAAGCCAAGAAGGATTTATAGTAAACTAAGACTTCCTGGTGTCTTTCCACATACCAACATCTCCTCCACCAGGACCACAACCTCACAAAGTAAGTGCCATTACTACCCATTTCCAGAGGAGCAGCTGAGGCTCTTGAAGTGATTTAACCTGTCCAGGAGTGCACAACCGGGGGTAGGGGAGGAGGAAGCAGGGGATTTGATCAGGGAGGCCTTGCTCCCCATATCCCGCTGCCTCCAATAATAGCAGGAAGCAGTGGCAATGCCAGTTGGCTCCTCCTGAATCACTCTAGGGCCCTGGGATGGGTGGTTTGAAGAAGTCAGTTTATCAAGACTTCTTACTAACCCTTCAAGGTAGGTGTTTTCTTCCCATCCTTGGGGACAGGAGGGATGAAGTTTAGAGAGATTGGGAAGTTTGTCCAGGGCTGCACTCCTGGTCAGAACCAGGATGGGCACCAGATCTGGCCAACCCCCAGTGCAGTGCTTTCTCCTGCCCTTCCCTGCCCACTCCCAAATACCACCACCCTGTAGCCAGAGCACAGCAAGGACTTGGTCGGCACATGCTGGTCCAGGTTGAATTGCTTCCTGCCATTTTTCCTTGACCTTGTCAATGGCTAGTTAGTTGGGACCCTGAGGGCACAACACACACAGGGGTCCCACATGATTAAATTGCTCTGGTGAAAATTCGTCCTCTAGAATGCTAGAAACCCCCAGCAAAAGTCACTTCCCTAGAACACTCAATCCAAATTGAGTGAGCGTCTCACTGCAATCACAGCCAAGAAATACTTTGGTATTTTATAGGCAACAAATGAAATTGCTCTAAATGCACGTGAATCTCTACAACCCGTGCCAATCATGCCTCCCATTTCTCTTATGATCTGTCTGCACGAGGCGTTTCGGAAGCCTTTAAAGGTAGGAAATAAGAGGTCTAGGTTAAAAGCACTGCCCAAGGTCACAAGACTAAATGCCGCCTCTCTGCCCCCTGAGAACACACCACAACCTTCTTTCGCTCTTGGTTGTCACAGAGCAGATTCTGCGGACAGGACAAACGACCTCTGTTACACGCTGTCTTATCATGGGACGGTGCACTCTGGGCTGAATCTCAGTCCTTAGAATCAAGGCTAACAAGACGAAAGTTGTGACTTTGTCCCTTGCTGGGTTTGTTGTATTCAGTCCTTTCTGATTACTAGCTTTGTGGTCTGGGTCAATTATTCTATTTACTCATTCTGCTGTCTGTAAAATGAGAAGATAAAACCACCCACAAGTATGTGATAACTGATGTAAAGTATCTCTCCAGGATCCCCCAAAGATCAGAGGCTCCCTCCAAGGAGGAATCCAAGAAGAGTTTAATAAGGATGGCAACAGGATTAAGAGAAACCAACAGGGCTGGGAGCAGTATCTCTGGGCTAGCAACGCCAGGGAGGTCTTACCCGCCCAAGGCATAGACAGGGGAGAGAGTAGCTATAAGACAGGGCTGTCCTTTAGGAACTGTAGCCTGGAGAGACAAAGCCCAGCCTTGATGTGCTGGCAGGGAGGGACCTGGAAGAATATATGCCTCCTCCTGTGGCCCCTGAGTTCCCGGTTCCTGCTAGCGGAGGGAGGGATTGGGAACCCATGGGGTGGTCCACAGAGGTTACCTTCCTACCAAGCAGAGCAGAGTGTGGGAGGTAAGAGGGGAACAAAAAGGTAATTGCCCGAGGTCACAAGACTAAATGCCTTAGAGTCCTTTGGAGTCTAAGGCATTAGAGAGAGGTACAAAGAGAGGATACCAGCCACTAGCCCTACCTTGAATGCTGTTCGTAGGGTGAGTGTAGAGAAACCCGTTAATGATGAACCCACTATATACTCCAGCAAAGTTACACTTCCCTGTGTCTCTGTGGGGATTCCTGGCAGGACACAGGCACCCCAGACACCCCTCTGGGCCCTCCCTCCTGTGCCCTGCTTTTCACTCCAGCCAGAATCTTCCCTGATGCTCCAACGAGCGACCTGCTGGTGCTAGAAACATTTCTCCACAATTGGATCTCGAGGATTCATTGAAATGACTCATTTGGGATAACGAGCAGGATGGGGCCGGCCCTGTCTGGGCCTCCGAGGCCGCCATGGTCTGCTACCGTCTGAACCATCCCACCGGCGGGTTTGTTTGCACACCCGAAAATGTATTGGCCACTTAAATCTGTTATAAATTACCAGCCTGGAAATAAATATCGTATCTGGGTCCCCAGTAAGTAACAGATGCACGAGTGCAGAGTGAGATAAATGCGTTTTGGATGCAAACCTCTCTCCCATTGCTCACAGACAGATGGAGGCAGGCCCAGTGCTGGTTTGCAGTCGATCAGCGCGCTGCGTAGGTGGGACTTAGATGAACTCAAAGTTCCTTTAAGGTTAGGAAGTTTTCTGTACTAGCTCCTGGCAAATCCCCAGAGGAGCCCCAACTGAGCAATACATCTCCTTTTATCTCCTTTGCTGAGGAGTCTCGTGGTTAGAATGTTTTCTCTTTGGGGACTGTGTGGGTTTTCGGAAGCCAGGGAGGGTCTCTTTACTCAGATGCAGGGTGGGGACAGGCACGCGGCATGCCTGCATTTATACTGTGTGTATTTATCAAGGCATGTGGCCCAGGAAGACTTCCAGGTACTGGGGACATAGCTGTGAGCAATCTAGGCACGGCACTGCCACAGTGGAGCCCCGACTCATCAGAGGGGAGAGAGACCGTAGCATGCAAATCAATAAAGGACAGTGTGCCATTTGGTGACGAGTGTTGAGGGTGAGTGGAGAGGGACATGCCCTGCAGAAATGATTGACACCTGAGCCAAAGCCCAGTGAGGCAAGAGGAGAGCCACTTGGGTCTCGGGACGGATGCTGCAGGCATAGGGCACGGTCTGCGCTCAGGCCTCTGATTGGACACGGGGTGGCTGCTCCTGAGGAAGAGCAGTCAACATTGAATGCAGGAAGAATAGCAGAAAAACTGGGAATATTGCCGAAGGAATGAGACGGGAATGGCAGGGGCTGTTGAGATGCCCAAACTGAGCGGGAAGAGGAAGCACAGTCAGCGGCCACCTCCTCGCAGAACCCTCCTCTGGCCTCCCTGACTGAGTCCACAGAGCCCGCCTCTCCCCAGTCTCTTGACACCTGTAAGCTGCTCAGAAGCAGAGCCCTCATCCCTCTGATCCACCTTCGCATTTCGGGTGCCAGGTACGCAGCAGTCAGTACTCAGTTAACTCCTGCCAGTTGATAGTGAATGATTGAGGCAACGAATGGATGGATGGAACAGTGAACCCAGGCCATCTAGCCACACAACCAGAACATGAATTTATTGTGTCTCATGGAATTCCAAGCACATTTCCAAGTTGCCGTTTTTTCCAAGGTCTTTTGTCTCCCGGCTGAGACATGAAAGGTGTGTCCTAGGCATTCCATCCAAATCGGCTTTTGCTGAAAACTATGGCCAACTCTGGGCAGCATGGCCCATGGCCCATAGGAGAAAAGGATGAAAGGCCACCACAGCACACGTGTCCATGCTCAGTGGGCACAGGCACAGCCCTGCTGGGCCACTCAGGAGAAAGGACTTAGTGCTATGTCCCAGCAAAGGTTCAAGTGAAGAGTGGTGTGTGGGATTGTGGGAGGGGACCTAGAGAGACTTCTGAAAGCGTAGCTGGAGATGAGGAGAGGGACAGATGACCAGTCCCAAGCTGAGGCATTTGGACATTGGCACTTAGGCAGCACAGAGCTGTTCTAGGTTATAAGCTTGGAAACACACCCAGTGTGCACAGGGAAGCTCACTGGGGCAGGAGGCAGCTGGCTGGAGGGGACAGCTGGAGACAGCAAGGCAGCCTACAAGAGGTTGCTGCTGTCACCCCGGCCAGGTGTAATGAGGACTGTGAGAAGGAGTGATAGGGATGGCAGAAGAGGGTAGACTTGAAAAACCTCATTTTTAGGCTCTAGGGAACACTTTCTCTTCCCAAACCTACTCAAAAAAACCCCTGACTATAATTCAGAGGCATCCCCGTCCATCTTGACTTGGATCTTCCTACCTCCTATATCTTGGAGAAGGGCTCAGTTATTACAGTCACAGAAGGGAGGGCTCCTGACTCCAGTATCCACTGACTGGCTTATGTGGACTTTTAGTCTTTGGTAGCCACTTAATAAATGTTTGCCAAGTAAATAATAAAATAATAGCAAAGGCATGTACATTAAATTTAAGAATAGTGCGTAGGGCACAGTAACTGTCATATATTAACTCCTTTAATCTGAGCAACACTCTAATGTAAATGCTATTATCCTCATGTTACAAGGAAAAAAAATAATTGAGGCCTAAAGAGGTTAAGTAACTTGCCCCAGACCACACAGCCTTGAAGAGACAGAGCCAGGATTCAAACCCAGGCAGTTGGGTTCCAGAGTCTATGGTACACAAAACCACTCTGGGATACTGTCTGTCTAGTTGATTTGCTGATGTTTTGTTGATTGGGCTTTTGCCCTGGGTCTCGTGGCATACTATGCTCTCTGGGAATTAAAAAAAAAAAAATTAGTAGGCAGTGTTTGTCTTTAAGAATATAACTATATATGCTAAGTAGACAGGACCACTCTAGCAGAGTTTAAGTGTGGCTGTTGATTGCTATGTGGTTAATCCAGTGGTCCTGGTCATGGCATTGGCCTTGGATTGGTGCTGATGTCCAACTTTAGAACATGCCCAGCAACTGGAAGGTTCCTGTGACTTAGATGTTGAGCAAGTGAAAGACAGAAGAGAAATGTGGGGGGGACTCAGAAACAGAAAGTGTGTCCAGAACTTTAGAGATGCACTTCCACGGCACCACAAACCACACAGTTGGCGATTCTGGCTATTTTCTGAAGAAAGAGGCATTGGGGCAGCTGATCCACCTCAATAGGACAGAAAGGCTGGTCAACGACATTTAAGACAAACACAGGTGTTCATCAAACTTTCGGGCTTATTTTCTCCAAAGATGGTTAACTGCAGAAGTGAAGTAGATTTCAGGGCTGTCAACAGCTCCATAATTGGCATCTGTGTTATTTTTTAAATTTATTTATCTATTCATTCATTCACTCACTTATTCATTCAATAAATACTAATCACATTCAGTGTTCTACACTAAATGCAGACCCATCTGTCTCCAAAACATAAGCTTCTGCTCAGTATGGTATCCATACATATTACCTCTCTAAGACAAGAGAGAAGGCTCTCCATCTATGCCATGCCCCAGCGAGAGAGAAGGTCACCGTCAACTCCTCCCCAGTGGTTAAGGTTATGGGGCATCAGAGTACACCAGAGCTTATCCGAGCACTTTGCAATGTACAGGGAAATCAGAAACTGGTCTTTGAATTAGCAAGTAGCTCTCTCTTGGCCTCCCAGGCACATCTCTGTGAGGGACTCTCTGTACCTGAAACTTCAATTCCAAGGCCAGGCATGTTGGCAGAGAGAAGCAATGTGGCGTCTTCCCAACTTGCTTTTTCTTATGTTTGATATTGCAATGGGGTCAGCAATAGCATAGTTTTCTTCCATTTTCTTCTCTGAGTACCCCCAAAGGACCTCGTACAGTGTTCTTCTGATAATCGTGGCTCAGGAAAGACTTTCATATAGTCGATGTCCTCGAAAGACCTGAAGACTCCTTCTCCACCTGTTTGGGGGGCATCAGCATAAGTGGTGCCCACCCAGTTGTTGCTCCCAACACAACAGACTTCATGGCAAATCTGTGTGGGCTCCTCACAAGTAACTATAAAAATAGCTTCCACTGAGTGACTTACTAAGCACTTTACAAGCATTAGCTTTTTTAATCTTTGCCACTTCTTTGAATCTTTGCTAGAATCTTTGCTAATTCGAATCCCATTTTGCCTATGAGGAAACCGAGGCTTTGAGTTAACACTGTGGTGTTTGAAGGCTTTGACTAGAGACCCTTCACTGTGCTTTTCTCCTGTCCCCCAGGGCTACCATCGACCGCGACACTACATCGCAACTCAAGGTAAGTGCCTTCCCTCCACCAGGTGCCCCAGAGAGGTCTCCAGAGTGCCAGGGAAGAGGGCCCTCTGGGAAATCGGGGGGTTGCTGGGCTCTCCTTCTGCATCTGTCCCCCCGAACACTCCTCCACTAAAGGTCCTGGCCCTTCTCTGGAGAATGGGGATGAGCTTCTGCCAGCAAAGAGCCACAAAGAGATAGATCTGGAGGGCCATCTGAGGTCCTTGGGATTGTTTATTGTTTGTGAAGGAGAGAGGTGACGAGTTCAGCTATAGAAGGCAGGGCTGTGAGGAGAAGGAGGAGCTACCACCAGGAAATGGTCAGGAGGCGGGGCTTCAGTCAGGGAAGGCCAAAAGAATCAGCTGTGGGCAGGTGCCATCAGTGTCCCCCAAACAGAACCGGAGCTCATGGCACCTTATCACCCAGTGCCTTAGCTCTCCTGCCCATAAGAGAGAGAGATGCAGCCAGTTGCCCTAGAAAGCAACTTGGCCGTACATTCTTACAAGTCTTAAAAATGATCATTCCTTTCAAGCGCTCCAGGGGAAAAAAAGCCCTGCAGATAATTGTATGTGTGGACAGTGATGTATATACGTAGTAAAAACATTCTCCACAGTGTTATCGATACTAGGACAAAAAGGTAAAAAATCGTAAATGCCTAACAGTTGGTAGATTGGTTAGATAAAAAGCAGCACCTCCATGTTATAGAAAACTACACAGCTGTGAAAAATATTACGCTTAGGAGGAATTTGTAAGGGCATCAGAAAATGCATAGAATAGTTACGCTTGCTGCAGTAAATACACACACACACATATAAATACAGAAATGGTATGCAAACTCTCATATCAAACACACATACTACTTTCACAATTTAAAAATAATGTATGCCCAGGACGCTGAAAGAGTAATTTTCAAGGAAATTGCTTTGGACTATCAGATTCTATTTTCTACTCCTTGTCTGTTTTTTTTTTTTTTTTCCTTTCTGTTCAGACTCCAGAGAAATGCCTCCAGCGTTTCTGAAGCTAAAAATGAGGCATCTCCTGTGTTTGTTCTCAGCATCTGGCACCTGGCAGCTCTCTCCCCTCCTAAACCCTAACTCCAGTTGCCTGCCTGTGTCTTATTGAGGTTCTGAACCCAATGTTTGAAAACTCCCCTACACCACACCCCATCGTATAGTCCAAAGAAGATAATGAATGGCTTTTGCGGAAAGGGTCTGAACAGGAGGAAGACAGAAGGGAGAGAGGAAGCCGCCATATTCCCCGTAGATGGCTCAGACTGTGAAAGTTTGCAATGCAGCTTTTTTGATCCCTATTCTGACCTGGCCCCTCATCAGGCTTATACACCTGTCTCAGGCTTCAGGTTCAGCTACTTGGTGTCTTACTGAGGACCCCCTGGCCTAACTCTTGCTCACCAGTGTGCAGTCTTGACTAACCACTCAGGAGGGACAGACCTCCAACTGCCTCCTTGTTCCTGCAGCCTCAAACCCTTCCATCTTCTCTGTTGGCAGGTCCCATGCAGGAGACAGTAAAGGACTTTTGGAGAATGATCTGGCAGGAGAACTCCGCCAGCATCGTCATGGTCACAAACCTCGTGGAGGTGGGCAGGGTAAGACTCTCCCGCAGGTACCCGGGCAGAGGACACTAGAGGGGGGGCCCTCCAGCATCTCTCTGTTCCGTGCACTGTGCTAAGTGCCTCCTAGTCAAAACTTCGCCCTCATCGACCCTATAAGGGAGACATTTCTGCTTCACATTCCAGCAATGCCCTTTTCCTTCAAATCCCCTTCATCCCTGTTTCCGCTTCTCTCTCCATGGATGACATCATCTCATATACTTCGAGGAAATTAAAGCCATTGGACGTGAGCGCTGTCATTGTCACACCACAAAGCTACAATCCTCCCCTCCACAATTCTCCTCCTCTACAACCATCTTCTCCTTCTTCCCCTCTGTCATCAGGTTCAACCGTAAGCAATGGCCGTTTTCGGGTAGCCCCAAATGAGTCCAAGTCAGCCATTGCTTATGGCTCAGCCTAATACCACAGAAGCCCGTGTTTCTGGCCACCTCTCAAAGTCCAGCCTCGGGCCTTGAATCACAGATTCTGCTTCACATTTTTCTCAGTTCCACGTCCCTCGCTTGAAAAATAAGTCTCTGTCTCATGGCTGGACTGTTCCTCCCAGCATACAGACATGCTCAGGGCCCTTCCACGTGATAAGGCTGAAAAGAGGTAGACACAAAGTACTCTCTTGTCCCCACTTTTCCAAAAAACTTTAAAGAAGGCTCTGTTTCTTCACTCCTGTTTGCTTCCACCCACGCCGGCAGAGCTCCTCCCTCCACTCTGCCACCCGCGATATTGTCAGCACCACTCACATCCTTCATGTGGACAGTCCAGTCGCCACTTTCTCTTCTCATCTTACTCAACCTCTCAGCAGCATCTGACACTCTGCCACCTGCTCTTCCTCCCTGACCTCTAAATCTTGATAGTCTTCAAGGCTCAGGCCTTGGGCTCCCTCTCTGCTCTATCTCTACTCTCTCCTGGGTCATCCTTGACTACTCCTCGGGCTTGAAAATGGGACTGCTATCCCCAGCTTCTTTTCTGCCTGCTTGGTTAACGGCCGCATGAGGGTGGGTGGGCGGCTGAGTTTAAAGGCAAAGTGTACAGACCCTCTATATATCATAGTTACTGACAAGAGAGTGGGCAGGTAAGTTTTTGTTTGAGTGAGAACCAGATAATCTGAGAAAACGTGGACTGTCACAATCTAGGAAAGGGGTGTGGACATCTCATGGCCTCATAGGAATTTAGGGTCAAGAGAGACTTTCTCCTTGAGCCCACTCCCATCTGAGTCTGTGGCCCAGTTTTACAGATGAGGAAACAGACCCTAAGGGTGGAGTCACTATCCTAAAGTCACCCTAGTTAGGAAATCTGATTCTTAATTCTCATTCGGGTGCCCGTAGTCCTCCACTCAGAATGTTCCCCCAAGGAGTCAGGTGTGGGGTACAGTTACTGTGGGCAGAAAGACCAACCCAGGATTCAAGGACTCAAAAGCAAATTCCAGCCTATCCCATATTGGAAGGGTAGACCCTTCCCTTGTAGGGTAGACCGTGAATCTGAGTTGTCTGTTGGGAGGAATGGCATCTCTTGGTGGAGCTCCTGCTAGTCACCAAGCACCATTCCAGATACTTACTGTGAATTACCTTAATTTGTCTCACGTCAGTCATAGCAGACAGTATTTCTGGTTATTAATCAGACGGCCTTGTGTGTATCCGGGCTCTAGCCCTTACTGACAGTTGACCTTGGGCAATTCCCTTAGCCTTCCTCTACTTCTGATTCCTCATCTGAAAAATGGGAAACATAATAATATGTAACGTCATAAGTTTGGGGTGATATGTCATGAAAATTATACATGTAAAGTATTAGTAGAACACTTAGTAAGCAGTAAATGTTAGCCGTCACTGTTGATAGGAAGCTGAGGCTCCGAGGGGTTCCAGAACTTTCTGGAAGCCGCACGGCTACCGAGTGTTAGCACCAGGCAGTGACTCCACTTGCCTTCAAACCCTGTTGCACTGTGCTTCCCTAAGTGGGTTCCATGGGATGCTAGTCTGCAGGATACTTAGTGAGAAGAGGGTTCCCTGGTTAAATACGTTTGGGAAATGCTGTGTGTCTATGCCCCCTTTGGAGAGGTGTGAAATATGCACGCGTTAGCAGTAGCACACTGAAGGAGCTGAGTAGTCCTGTAGCAAAGCGCCTATTTGAATCTGTTTAATCCAGCATTTCCCAAACTCATTTGACCACAAAACCTTTTTTTTGTTTGTTTTTTGTTTCTTTTTTTTTCTTTTTTTGTTTTTACCTAACACCTATTAGCACCCAGCGGAACACACTGTGGGAAAGGCCACGCTAGGCCGCGCGGCGTCCCCCGGAATGGTAATAATGCTTTTGTTTTTTTAAGGGGAAAACCGTGATCACTTTTTCCTCCATGGAGTGTGAATTAAGGAACCGACTGTGGGATGGCTTGTTCTGAGCGCCTGTCCCCACGGCCGGGGCAGGGAAGAGCTGCAGAGTCTTCCCTTGGAGCCCAGCTCCTGCCGTCCTTCTCCCAGCTCAGATCCTTCCTCCGTCCAGCCCCCTCCAGTAACCATTCTGAATGGCGTCCCCTCCTGACCAGTTCTGCTCCCACCTCCTCACTGTCTCCCGCCGTTATCCTCATCTCTGCTCAGCTGACAACACGCAGCTGCTCCAGCCTGATACTGTAAGAAGGGGACTCAGGCAGTCCCCCAAACTGGCCACGTGACCTAGGACAAGTCACCAAACTTCTGAACTTGAGTATTATTTTCATCTATAAAACGGGGACAATAGAACCCAGCTAGCTCACCTTGTTCTGCTTGATCACTGAGTGTGCCACTGCATTTGGAAATTACTAGGAGCTTTGCAAAAGAAGGGACTTCTATTATGCCTAATGGCTGCAATGCCTCTGGGAGTGAGCCTGGTCCTGGCGAGTTTGCTGCCCCCTGGCCAGCTGAGAACCCCGTGGGCTAGTTCTTAGTCCACCAAAGTCGCCCTTGGGTGTATTTGAATGGGAAGGCCAGAGGAGGTGGCTGCTCACCCATAACCACGTGCTCATACATCCTCGTCTCTGTTCTCTCTCTGTCTCTCACTTGGCCACAGGTGAAGTGTGTGCGATACTGGCCAGATGACACAGAGGTCTACGGAGACATCAAAGTCACCCTGATTGAAACAGAGCCCCTGGCAGAATACGTCATTCGCACCTTCACAGTGCAGAAGGTAAGCTTTCCTGCGGCTGCGGGCGGCCCGGCCACCTGGTGAGCTGGCTGCTTTGTTCATTTGGAACATGTGGGACCCGAGAGTCTGCTCTGTGCCCAGCTCCATGCCCAGCACCGGTGACAGATCAGCGGCTGAGCCAGACATGGATCCTGCTGCAATGACAATGGAACCCACACTTAGTGGGAGGCACAAACAGGATTCAACAGACAGATCAAGAAAATAATAACACATCGTGATAAAAGCCACAGGAGCATGCAAAGGGTGGAGAGAGAAACCCATAGGAAGAGGGGTGGTCAGCAAGGGCCTCTCAGAGGAGGAAGAGGGGTGGTCAGCGGGGCCTCTCAGAGGAGGAAGAGGGATGGTCAGCGGGGGCCTCTCAGAGAAGGAAGCATTTGGGTGGAGAATGAAGGAGGAGGAGCCAGCCAAGGGGAAGATGGAAGGAATAATGTCACAGACAGGGGACATGCAAAGAGTGAAGGGAAGAAAAGATTGCACCAGGTTCTAGGCCTGTGGTTTTCAACTGGGGCAATCTCGTCTCCTGGGGGATATTTATCAATGTCTGGAAACATTTTGGTTGTCACAGCCAGGGAGTAGGAGGTAAGCTGTCATAGACATGTAGCAAGTGGTGGCCAAGGATACCGACTAATATCCTTCAGTGCACAGGACAGCCCCCAAAACAAAGAATTATCCTTCCCAAGTATCAATAGGGCCAAAGATGAGAAATGCTGGTCTAGACATAGGGTTGCAGGAATTTGATGAGCAAGAATGAAGACTGCAAAGAATAATTATTATCACCTTTATAAGGTAGTTATAATTGTTGCTATTATAGCATGATTCCTGTACCATAATGACAGCTAACACTGACTGAGCACCTACTAAACCAGGTGCTTTGTGAAATGCTTTGCATAGATTATCTCATTGGATCCTCCCAACACCTCTTCCTGTTCGATGCTTTCTATATATCCGCAGGAGATTGGGGAAACTGTATAAGCGAAGGGTCAGAGGTGTGACCCTGGCTCAGGGACAGTCAGAAAACCCTGTGGCCTGGAGCACATTTTCTTTCTTTTTTTTTTTTTTTTTTTTTTTTTTTTTTTGCAGTTTTTGGCCAGGGCCAGCCTCAAACCCACCACCCCCGGTACATGGGGCCGGCACCCTACTCCTTGAGCCACAGGCGCTGCCCCCTGGAGCACATTTTTGCTGGGTGCGGGAAGACTGATCAGAGCTCTAGGCCCTACCACCACCAGCAGTCAGCAAAGCTCTGTTTTTATTTGTTTCACATCTTCAAATTCTAGATAAGAATCTAATTCATAAGGAAGTCGGATAAGTTTTTTAAACTTTGAAAGCCCCAGAGACTATCATAATCGAGGCTGGAACACTACAAGACATTAAATCTCAGTCACTGAAAGGCCTCATGCTCCACTAGAAACAGTTTGAACTTGGTCCTTCAGGCCATTGTTTCCTTGAATCTACTGAAAACACTTCCTGTGAGACTCTTGGCAAAGAGGGTCCCCCGGGCAAACACCTGCTATCTTGCCATCTTGGGCATTCAGGATGTGGATGGGCACACTAAAGGTCCTGAGAAGTCCTGCAATAAAGTAGTTGGTTTCACTAATATGACTGAGCCCTGGAGGTTCCTTGGAGCAGCAGCTACAGCTCCACATGTTGCTGGGCGGGCACGTGGGGGCAGCAGATAGAGGAACAGAGGCCCATTCTCTCCTCAGAAAGGCTACCATGAGATCCGGGAGCTCCGCCTCTTCCACTTCACCAGCTGGCCTGACCACGGCGTCCCCTGCTATGCCACCGGCCTGCTGGGCTTTGTCCGCCAGGTCAAGTTCCTGAACCCACCCGAAGCTGGGCCCATAGTGGTGCACTGCAGGTGAGTCTAAGGTCCCCCACCTAACCAAGAGTGCTCTGCAGCTCGGCTTTATTGGGGAGGGATTTACTACCTTTTCTAGTGGCCTTAACTCTTTGCCTTAAAAACTCCACTGCCTGTGTCCCCCGGGCCCAACACTTTCTGATGAGATCTGGTCCCAAGTTCTAACAACATCCATGACAGTTATAGCAGCAATAGTCACTGTTGTTGCCCTGAAATGGTAAAGTCTCCAGAGATGCATCCTGGGTGCTGGCAGCCACTGCTTGTCTGCCAGGGGTACACCTCCCACATGACTTCATTTACTTCTCATCTAACCTCGAGAGGTGGGCATGATTATCACTCCCATTTCACAGATGAGAAGGCTGAGGTGCTGAGAAGGTAGACACCAGCACAGCACAGGGATATTCACCATGACTTTTCTCCAGACACTCACCCTCAGCTCACTGATGTGACAGCAGGGTGCCTTGGTGGAAGCTTGCTTCTCTTCATTTCTATTTTTTTTTAATCCAATTGGTGGTCGACAGGGTCCTAATAGAGAGTAAGTGGACAGCACCAGCTCTCACCTTATTATGGAGAAGAGATATTTTCAGCTCTGACCCAGAAAGTCACATTGCGAATGAGTGGCACGTCTTTGAATCCTCCCAAATGGAGATGAAGTGTCGTGTCAAGGGCATTCGGAATTGGAGGAGGATGGATGTCTGACCCAAAGTCTGGCCAGGCTGCAGCCCTCTCCTCCCCAGTGTCTCTGTCATCCAATGTGACCTTGGCCAGCCCAACTTTTCAGACCCTGTGTGTTCCAGTTATTGAATCCCTGCCCTGGCAGTGTCCATGTCAGTGGGGGACCCTGTAAACTGCAGATGTCTTAGAACCAGCCCCTTCTTCACGCAGCATCCATGAATCCTCACTGCAACAGTAGCTACATAACCCCATTTCACAGATGAGGCAGTTGAGGATGAGGCAGTAATGCTCTTCACAGCCCCTAAGCACTATAAGCGTCCTGCATGCATTCTCTGCTTTACATCTCATATTAGCCCAAGGACAGTAGAACACCAGTCCTCGAGCCCTGTATACCAGAAAGCAGCCAGAATAGGGATTACAGAGAAAGAGCAACAATGGGGAATATTCATCAGGCCTTCTGCTAAGCCCCACTGCTGTACGTGGTGACTCTACATCTGTGTCTCCATAGCAAGTCACCTGAGAACATCTGAGCGGAATGGTACCCACTCCTGGGGCTATTCTGATGATTGGATGGGAGGCCTAACTAAGTGCCTAAGAGGATTCCTAATATGCAGTAAGCACCAAAAAATATCACTGTTCTCTGCCTCTTAATGCTGTCCCCCTCCCCAGATGGTTAATCCTTTCAAGAGAAGAACCCTATTTTCATATCCTCACTCCCAATCCCAGCATCTAGAGCAGGGTAGATGCTCAATAAATATTAGATGAATGTAAGTAGCAACTATTTATGGAGAAAGTAATCTGCAGCTAGGCACAGGGTTAAGCAATTTACATGCTCTTTAATGCAATTTCATACAGTTTACATGTATTGGGCTGTTAACGGTGTAACGTAGGTCTATATGTTATTATTAGCATCATGTTGCGGGTGAGAGTATTGAAACCCAGAAAGATTAAGTGATTTACATCAGATAGTAAGTAGGAGAGCTGGTATTTGATCCAAATATCCTGTGTTTAATTACTTTATGATGCTGAATTAAACACAGCGCAGTTCTCACAAAGACCCTGCGGGAAGCCATGTTGTATGTGAGAACGCCGAGGCTCACAGACCCCAGGCAACTCGTTCACTGATGGTCTCAAGATTCTAAACCAAATTGGGCTGTTCTTTCTGCTCAAATGTGTTGAGGATGAGACGCTGAAGAAGAAATAGATGAGTGGTTCCTAGTGCTCCCTCCTAGACACTGAAGTCCTGCCTGTTGAGTCCCTCTTGTTGGGTCTGGTTTAAGGGGCAGTGGAAGTTGTTCCAAAGCAAAGATAAGCCAAAGTTCACACAATTCATAAAATTTTACCAGGAAGGATGGTGCTGTTTCTGCCAGGTTTGCCTTTCAGATCTTCATGATGGGCTTCCCTGGCCTGCGCTGCTCAGATGCACCAGCAGCCAGTGTTGCTTTTCTGTCTTGTTCCATCTCTCTTTCTCTTGGCATTTCCTCTGATTTCCACATTGTTAGGCAGAGACATGGGTTTCCAATAGGGTAAGATAAATGTGAAAACACAGCTGAAGTGGGCCTCCTTGACAGTCTGCTTGGCCTTCCCTTCCAAAGCCCAAACATTTAAGGCAAATGTCCTGTTTGTCTCTGGGTCAGCACCATTGTTTCAGAGCCCCCAGCACTAATCTGGGAAAGGCTGATCATGGTTCATGAGTCTCACTGAGTCTCACTATTTAGTACTTGGTCTGAGATTTCCCATTGGCGATCAAAAATTGAATAGATGCCAGATGTGATACCTGACAAGGGTCTCAGGACTGTCAGCTGCTCCAGTTCAGTGATGCTATGGGCTCATGATCCTGGTAAACAGGTTCAAATGAAACCAAACACCAGGCTTTGGACATGGAGCGCTGGGATTCACTCTTCCTTGGGGACAGCTCAGAGGTCTCTAGTTTCTCTCTTCTTCTCTGTTCTTGCTTCTTTCTTGCTTCTGCCCATCAACTGATTTGCTGAAAGTGAAAAGTGAGGAAGAGAAAAAAAAGGGAAGAAAGGAGGAAAGACATGTCCGTTAGGCATCTCCAGTGTTCTAGGCACCACGTTAGGTATTTTGTGGTATATAAATGAATTATCATTATCCATCAGATGAGGAAACTGTGTGCACACGTGTTGTATAAGTGAGCAATACATGCTTATTATTAATAAGGGACACATAAGAATACACAATCTGGAACCAGACTGCCTGGATAAAAGTCTTAGGTCTACCACCTGCCCACTATGTGACCTTGGGTGAGGTAAGCCCTCTGTGCCTCAGTTTTCTCACCTGTGAAACAGAGTTAAAAACTTCTCAATCTCATAGGGAAATTGATATAGGTAACATCAGTAAAGCACTTAGAACATTGACTGGTGCTCTTTGCTTACTGAATACAACAAAATAGAACAGCGCAGGGAGACAAGCATTACTCTCTTACTTCACAAAGGAGAGAACTGTGGCTCTAAGTTTAGTTGCTTGTTCACTGTGTCCCAGTTGTGTTGGGATTCAGACCATTCTGCTCTGTCCGGCTCCTGCAGCCTCTCAGGAGGGCCCTGCAGGACAGAGCTGCACAGGAGGGCCCCCCAGGGCTGGCTCCACCCCAAGCTCCCTAATATGGACAGTACCTTCTCTTCCAGTGCTGGAGCTGGGAGGACCGGCTGCTTCATCGCCATCGACACCATGCTCGACATGGCAGAGAACGAAGGAGTGGTGGACATCTTCAACTGTGTGCGCGAGCTCCGGGCCCAGAGGGTCAACCTGGTACAGACAGAGGTGAGTCTTAGGGGACTGAGCTGCTGGCCAAGGAGAAGTGTACAGAGGCATCCTTCAGAAAGCAACCTGGGTATGGGAGAAGCTGGAGGGAGTAGACATATGGCCAGCTATGGGAAGCCACTGTAGGGCTAGGGGACCCTGGCTAACATGGGGGTCTGCAGTGCAGAGACTTCCACCAGTGATGAATGATGGGAAGTGCCCAGTCTCTGAGGGCATCTAAGCAGGGAAAGGATGGCAACTTCAGGGATTCTGTGGGTGCCTTGGGTGAAGGAGTAAAGAGGGAAAGAGAAGCACTGGTATGCATCAAATGCCTACTATGTACCACGCATTGACCAGTCACTGCAGGGAATGGCTCAATCCACAGACTTTTACAGTTTTCTTTTCTTTCTTTTTTTTTTTTTTTTTTTTTTTTTGGCTGGGGCCAGGTTTGAACCCTCCACCTCTGGTATATGGGGCTGGCACCCTACTCCTTTGAGCCACAGGGCACTGCCCATCAACAGACTTCTGGAGTACTTGTATTAGATGCTGAGGATTCCAAGAGAGACAATACACAGCCTCTGCTCTCAGGAAAGAGACCTTTGGGCAACTCTCTGTGCAGTGAGAGAGCCCAAGACCTGAGGAATATGGAAGGGATTCATCTTTATTGTTTTGCTGGGACCACACTGTCTGTGCATGCAGGGTGTTGTTTCACGCCTCCCAACAACCTACAGTGTAGCTCCTACTGGTGTCCCCACTTTATTGATGAAGAAGAAATCAAGGACTCAAATCCCCAATATCTCAATAGCAGGCTATGGTCGAATATGGGTACATGTGACCCCCAAGACCCTACACTCTCTGGCTAAGCAGCCTTTTCTGCCTGCTGACCTCTTTGTGCCTACACTGTGCCCATCTTCTAGTTCTTGTGAAGGCTGCAGGTGCCCAGGTGGTCAGAGGTGGGACCGATAAGGAGCTGCACACACCATCACCCCCACAAAGGGAAGTTACCCATAGCTTCGGGCCCTTCCAGTCACTCTGGCTCTACAGTGAATACCTTCAGGGATAGGTTTACACACACAGGACCCTGGTGCAGGCTCTGAGCTGACACACACAGGCCAGGCTTCAGGCTTCTGGCATTAAACCCTGGGGCTGCTCTATCTGTTCCCAGGTCTTCTGAGTACAGAAGGCAGCCTTGCTGCTCAGAGTCACAGCCATGGTCCTTACTACCTGGTGGGGGAGACATATTCCAATGCAGATTCATCATGATGCATCTGGAGATCAGCACTCCATAGAGAAATAGGCCAAGATCTGCAGGAAAAAATGTCACTCAACAAACTTTGGTCAAAGGTCTAATAGTACCCACAACTTCTGCCTGATGGATTAAGAGATGACTTTCCAGAAGGAATGAAACATTGAAGTAGGGAGATGGAGACAAGAACAGCAGGTACAAAGAGCTGAGATGGGAGGGGGACAACACACGTTTTAGGAGCAGACCCTGAGACAGAGGTTCGAGTGGGAACGTGAGAGAGAGAAAGGAAGGAAGCAAAGGAGGATGATTTTAACAAGCCGTTAAACACTGTGGACAACTGAAGCCCAGTTCTGCTGAGATCTCTGACAGATACATAGTGTGGAACCTGCATCTCCAAGTTAGCCCTCCTAAGGGGGAAGGGAGGAAACTTGAGTTTTTATCCCCAACTCTCCATCTGTCGTAGCTTGAGGGCTGCTTCCCAGGGCATCAATTCTTTGGTCCTATTAGCTTGCCCTGCACTCAGCCCAGGTGTGGTCCTGCAGAAAGAAAGCCCTCAACAGAGAATCACAGGCATTTGCAGCAAACCAGTGAAATTGAAAGCTGAGGGAATATGGGCTGGTCATCAAGACACCTGCTACAGCATGTCGAGAAGTTTCTCATTTTTATCAATGACTATGCTCCTCAGTCTTGTACAAGCAGCAACACTCGCCATAGTTCAGGTGACCACAGTGGAACAATGGGAACTTGGCCCTTTGGGTTACAGGATAAAAAGTTAGGATTCTGCAATATAACTCATGCCCATTCCTTGTAGCCTGCAGAAGGAAACATAGACAGCGAGTTCCCAGGCCCCTGTCTTTACCAACTACCCTATTCCTTCTCCCCTTGACTTTGCAGGAGCAGTATGTATTTGTGCACGATGCCATCCTGGAAGCATGCCTCTGTGGCAACACTGCCATCCCTGTGTGTGAGTTCCGCTCTCTCTACTACAATATCAGCAGGCTGGACCCTCAGACAAACTCCAGCCAAATCAAAGATGAATTTCAGGTATGGACAAAGCTCAGGCTCAGTGACTGTGTCAGTTCAAGTTGTTACAGCAAATTTCCATAGAGTGGTTGAAACAGCAAACATTATTTATCTCATTTCTGGAGGCTGGGAAGTCCAAGCTCAAGCTGTTAGCAGATCCAGTGTCTGGGGAGGGCTCCCTTCTTGACTTTGGATGGCTGCCTTCTTAGTGTTTCTTCACATGATAGAAAGCAGACTGGAAGCAAATGCTCACATTTCTTCTTATGAGGGCACTAATCCGATTTCTGAGGGCTCCACCCTCATGACCTAATCATCTCCTAATATTATCACATTGAGGGTTGGGATTTCAAAATATGAATTTGGGGGTGGTGGTGCAAACATTCAGGCCATAACTGTGACCTAGCCGGCTTCAGTGACTTTGTGCACATTCATGGGACTTTCTTTGTGAAAATCTATTTGTCTAAGCACTCTCAGTGTTTGCAGCTCTAGGCAGCTCCAGAATGCATTTCAGAACATAAAATGCACAGCCACAAGAAACTATTAACCAATCACTCAGTGATTACTCCTGCTTGTTTTTAACTGATTGTGTTTTTGAACTGGGGTCTTATTTAGTTCTGATCCAGGTTGCAAATGGAGACACGTTTATACACACGGGTGTCAATTTCATTCCTCTGCCACTGGAAGGACTCAGGTTTTCCCAGTATTTTCTTGATGGATTCTTACTATTCACAGTGTGGTCTGGAGACCATCATTGGTTTCACCTGAGAGCTTGTTAGAACTGCAGACTCTTGAGCCCCAGCCAGACCAGTTAAATGAGAACTTTCCATTTAGCAAGATGCCTGGGTGATTTGTATGCATATTAAACCTTGAGAGCTCCATCCTAGAGCACAGATCAGGCCTAGCAAATCTACACCCTGGAGCCTATATGGTCAGAGTTGTGGCAACTTTGGTCTGAGAGGCCTGGATATGAATCACTGAGCCAGAGTTCAGCCCTTCATCCTGAGGCCAGTGCCAAGGTCATACCTCAGCATTGGAAGCTAAGAACCAGGCAAGAAGCAAGGATGTTCCAGGACTTACTTCAAGTCCATGGCCAAGTGCTGAACAGATGAGCAAAGAGAGCCCAGTCAGGCCAATACCTTAGCGCTTCTTTGTGTGTGTGTGTGTGTATGTGTGTGTGTGTGTGTGTGTATGTGTGTGGTAATACAAATATTTATTAAATATAATATACAAATATTTATCCACTTGATTTTCTGTATGTAGTGAAAACATCTTTGGCATATTCTTTTTTTTTTTTT